AACAGATTTTCTGACGGGTTGACCCGAACCCGACCCGCCAACCTGATTTGGACCCGAATTGCCACTCCTAGTCCTACTTACGTAATAAAGGAATCAGTACGAATGATGGGAGTGTATGTACGTACATCTTAAGGACTACAAGTGATGGATGGATTCTTAGGGAAGAATATACGGTCCTTGCCCCAAGGGAAAGAAGGGGTCTTGAATATTTTTCTTTCTTTCTTTCTTTTTCGAAAAAAAAAAAATTCAGCTAAATAGTTATGAAGTTGTTTGCCTAATACTACTAGACTAGATGTTGTTGGTATTGTGGGAGGGTCTTTTCAAGGAGACTGGGAAAGTAGACAACTGTGGATGAAATAACTGATGATAGAGATGAGATGAGATATGTTGAGTGGAAGGCCTAGAAAGATGGCATATGAATTGTGGGAGCCATGATAGTTTTCTCATCTTTTTGCAGGGGAGGGTGGTCTGAGTAGACAATTGTATCTATTGGAGTTGGATTTGGCAGGATTTTAGACGCTTATGATTTTAGCCCTCTTCCAATTTGCATAGACATTTTGACATGGATGGAAATTTTGATGGACCCCAGTACTCATTGTTTCCAAGATTTTTTAGATTGTATGTTCTCTTCCCATTTTTTTTTTTTTAAGTTTTAACACACAGCCACCCCTTGCTACGTTTTATAATAGAGTTACTGTATACTTGTAACTGTTTTTTCCATTTTTCTTTAGGATGATGATATTAGCACTTCTTAAAAAATTTTAGACGCTTTTCAAATTTCATCTAATGCCAAAAAAAAAAGGGAAGGCGTGCCTACAATTTTTTAAGAAGTGCTGATTTTGGTCAGTGTAGACAGTTATTTTTAAGAGTTTTTATAAAAAATATATTGTATTAATTTGATATATACATATATATAAGATAAAAATATAATTGAGAAATATATTCACGAAAAAAATAAAAATTTTTTCTGCAAAAAATTACAATCCAATCATTTCCCTTTCTTTAGGTCTATGAAACATGAGATTGTATTTAGAATTAGATATCACATGAGTCCGAGGCTTGAATAAATTATCAAGCATATACTCTTGGATTGCATAGAAAAATGTATTTGCCTCCGTCATTTTCGGCACATGTTCTTTGTCTGTTGAACATGATGGAAACTGCGATGCAAATGTCACTAGCGGTCCATGGTTGTGGGCTATACTTTGCTATACTTCCTTTCCATTGGTACTACTTGCTACTTGTTAATATTTCAAGTACTATACATATGTGTATATATATATATATATATATGTATATGAAGCATGTTGAATTTATAGGTTGCTTACCAACGAGAGACCACTGACATTGTACTTTAAATCAAAATATTCATAGGCAAAATGTGTATATATATATATGATTAATTTTTTTTACATTGACAGTATATACATCCTGACAGTGCATACACTGTTAGCGTTAGATGAATGAAAACTATGCAAAATTTCAATTTAAAATTCAAGTTTTGCACACATGTCATGAATCTAACGATGATAGTATATACACTGTCAGTGTATATAAGATTTACACACACACACACACACATATATATATATATATATATATATATATATATATATATATATATATATATATATATATATATGTATGAAGCATGCTGAACTTATAGATTGCTTACCAACGAGAGACATTATTGTAATTTAAACCAAAATATTCATTAGACAAAATGACAAATCTTAGGAGTTGAACCAACCCTCACTTGCATTCAATGCATGGGCGCTATTTCAGTTAATAAAGTCATATTGGACCTAGTACTGACTTTAAAGGTATGGAAATTGGAAAGTAGTTCGTGAGACACGAGCACAATAACGGAGATAAATCAAACAGCCGTGCAATGTTAGTCAATGTTAAGAATTTGCTGTAATGGAGCAAAATCAAACACCCGTGCAATCTTAGTCAATGTTAAAGTTTTGCTGTAATTGGACGTCAATCTTCATAGCCAGTAAGAGATTGGAGTAAGTTGTAGCATTTTAGGCCAATGGTCGAATCAAATTACAGAAATTTAAACAGGCATTGAAAGAGGATCAAAGCAACTGGGGATAAGATTAGGGAAGAAAATTAAGCAACTAATACTAAGGATAGCAATAGGGTGGGTGGGTTTGGGGCGGCGAGAACCCTTCCTCGTCCTCCATCTCATGTTCTAAAATTTTTTCCCCGTCCTCGCTCTGTCTCCTGCTTCCCTCGCCCCCGCTTTTCGCTCCTTTCGATCCCGCCCCATGCCCCCACCGGTGCTCCTGCGGTTGGCTAATTATAATTATAATTTTTTATTTTGACATTATTTGTTTACATATGATGACAACTTTTTGTATATATATATATAATGTTCTTTTAGATTTTTAGCTAAATATTCAATGTAAAATCAAGCTTAAAAATCATTTTCATATTTTTTGTTAAATAGCTTAAAATATGTAAAAAGATTCAAATAAACTAAAAATAACCAAATTATCATTTTATCAGACAAATTATGATATTATATAATATATATATGCATCTATTATTGATGTGTAATTATAATATGTGTACGTGTGCATATGTGTATATAATTATATATAAATATTTAATTTTTTTTAAAAAACTTTATGTTAGTGGTACTGGAAGAGCCATGAGTGTGTCTGGAAAGCTATTATTTGCACAAAAATTATTTGCTTGCATCACAAACATATTTTCTAATACACTTTTTTATTTTTCTAACAATCTTTTTATCTCATATACATTACCTTCCAAAAAGTGCTACAATAATTATTTCAAATTTTCTCCCATCCAATCGCTGTCGCTCACCCCATTTAAGGTGAACACTAATGTAAAAGAAGAGAGGAATTGAGAAATGAAAAGATAAAGCTCTACATTCTTTCTCCGGAGCCGTTCTTTCATGATAATCACATGTTTTATTGTTCTCAAAATCACTTTGGATTCATTAACCTAAATGTACTAGAATATCGAAAATGCCAAAATTGACAATTATCATAGTTGAATTTAAGTGCTTTGTAACAGATCGTTGAATAGGTGAGTTGCACACCAAATTCTTGTGTGTTTAACCAAAGTTCTGATTTTCCTAATGCAGGGCTTAAACGTTCTGTAGTAACCTCTCTATAAATTTTATCAAACAGATGCAAACTCCACTCAAAAGGTAGAGACTACGTACTGTAGTTTTGTTGTATTGGATTATATCCTCATATACAAACTACAAAGAGAGAGACGAGAGTGGATCCTGAAACACACAAAACCCACACTTGTCATATTTCATCTCCAAACCAAAATGGACATCAATAAGAGGAAAGACGAAAAAGTTTTCAAACCTAACAATCCTACGAGTGTCATTTACTGTTGTGGCACTTCAGCCATTTAAGTTGTTCAAAACACCTTAAAATGTGCACAATGAAATACCTTTTTGGTCTCACGGTCATGGGCTTAACCATCCACTCTAAGGCTCAACATAAAATCAACGAAAAAGTGGGATAACTGCCCTAACAACCATTAAAGCGAACATAAGAGCATTACCAACATTGCAAACTGCAAACACACGATAGTATCATTCTGTACATAGAAAGTCTTTTCCCAAGGCTCACAATATTTTTGGGTTTGTTTGGATATGATTTTATTTGTAAAATATTATTTGATTGAATCATAAACACATTTTCAACTATTTTTTTATCTTCTTTACTATCTGTTTATCTCACATACATTATATCATAAAAGGTGTTACAGTATTTTTCTAAAACATTATTCTAAATAATATCCTATCTAAATAAGTAGGAAAATCTTATAAAGTTTCTTGGTAGAGTTAGAATTTTTTTTTTTGTTAATTTTTCTTAGAATATAAAAGTTTAACTTTGCTCTCCTTATGTGTATATCAACATGTGTGCACTAGCTCATATTGACATTTGTAAAGAATCTTCTATCTCACTTCGTGCTCCACCTCTTATCATACCTTTTATATATTGCCATCTTTACAAGATCCTTTTTCAATTCATTTTTAATTCCCTTAAGTTTCAAAAACTAATAATTGGAAAACATAACACATTAAAACAACACTTTATAATGCAAAAGCACAACAAAAAATTCATAAAAGTTCCATGTTTCTATGATGTTTTTTATTTTTTTAGTCACTTATTTTTTTTCTCTGTACTCTGTTATTAATTATTGGAAATTAAGGAAAGGATGTTTGTGAAGAAAAGTGACAATACAATAAAAAGTGAGACAGAGTATAGAATAAGAAGTGTGATATAAAATCTTCTGGATTCTGTATTTGCTTAATTATTAAAATCAAGTAGTGACATAACGCTAGTTGCTAAAAATAACTTCTATAAATAATTTCTGAATTCACCTAAAAACCATTGAATTGCAATTTAAAAACTTATTACATGCCTAGAACTTTTGAAAGTGAAACCGGACAAATAACTTTCTAGACACTCTATACCAATCATAAAAAAGTAGCCTCCAAAACTTTTACAAGTCAAGGAAGGTATATGATGATTTGGTTGAAAATTTTTCTTTTCTTTTTTTCCTGCTCTACGGGTTTGGCTAAGCATAATCAGAAATTTCATTTTCTTTTCTATTTGGAATTCTGCACACAATCACATAAATTGTACTTTACTTCGTCGCAGTATGTTATAATTAAACATGCATGTATGCATACGAAGTTGCCTACACTAATTTTATGTGTATCTAAACTGATCTAATGACAGGTGTTTGGTCAATAACTTACCATACATTGATCCAAATTTGTTCCCTAGAGTTCACCTCTTCCCTGCGTCACAAAAGGCCTGCCTCAGCAGTATTAACGTCAAAAAAGCTATAGAAATGAGAAAGGTGATACCATAGCATATGCATATGACAATGGTGAGAGGGAAGAGAGCAGAAAAAGGGTTTCCAATCTCCAGCGTTTTTTACACACTTTATACTGTAGTACATGTTATCCTCGTTATTCTCACGACAGCCTTAAGATGTTGAGAAGAAATAATTCCTACTACAGCTCCTACAACATCCCTTCCTTCCAGCCTTTACTAGTTGACCAAATACCCCATCCAACAAGAAGCACAATTGCGCAAGAGTTTAATATACCTTGAACAAACGCCACCATTCCCCAGTCCCACACGTTGTACGACACCCATGCAACAGCCAAACACCCACTATCATAGCAGAAGAAGAAGAATCTAAACGAATTTCTTAGCTCTTAATCAACACCAGCTTTGAAAATATCACGACTTGGCTTTAATGGAAGGAGAAAGATCAGCATCAGGGTTGCACTTGAATCCCAATTATGAGCTACCACCCTCATTCTCTGCTCCTCATCCCATTCCTGAGATGGGTTTTGTACAGTTTGAAGATCATCACCAGGTTTTGAGCTTCTTGGCCCCTTCATCACAATCTTCTCATATATCCTCGCAGACTCTCCATGGTGGTGGTGAAAATAATCACACTAATAGTAGCACCACCAGCAATCATAACGGTTCTTTTGGGTTCAGACATAATGAACTTGTCGCTACCAGTACTAGACCTTCATGGAATAACGACCAGGTAGGTATTGAAACTACTAATTTAGGTAGTAGTAGGGTTTAATGTATCTGATCACAGAAATATCTGTGTTACAATTTCTGAAATGTTTCTTGTTAGTAGTTTTTAAATCATTATTTGTTGAATTTCTGGTAGTATTTTTTGTGGCCTGAGTCTTGATCCCTGCTTTCTTTATGCATCATGGCGAAAACTATAGGTGGGCTCGCTGAATCCCAAGGCTGTTGGTGACCAAAATTGCGCTACTAATAATGCCAACGAGGGTACCAATTCCTGGTATCATATCCCTCTATTAGTCCCTTACCTTCAGATCTATTTCTTTTTCTCTCTCTTTTTCGTGCACTCTCCTTACCCTAAAAGGATACATGGACAGATGGATAGCTTTCTTATGGCTTAGTTCTTACATATATATTTGGGAAAACCCTGGTTTTTTATTGATTCGAAGGGATGTAATCCAAAGGGCTGAAGGGGGGTTCTTTAGCAATGATTTCCATTCCCAAAGAGTTGTAAAAGCAGGCTTCTGTGCCCCTCTATAAAGCCGTCTTTCTAGTTTCTCTCTTTTTTGCTTCTAATTATCTTACCCTAGAGAAGCTTCTTTACTAGTATTATGCTTTTCATCAGAATCTAGGAAGATCTTACCATATACAGTAGAGATTCACGAGGTTCGATTGCAAGTTCCAACTTCCAATATGATTGCGCACTGCACAGTTACCATTTTCCAATGCCATTTCTTCTCTCTCCCTCTCTTTTTCTCCCCAAAATCCAAAAATAGTTCAAAACGCATGTGGTGTTCTGTGGTGTTTATTCCCAAAGGACCAGTACTGGATCCGCCACATTCTGATAACAACATATGATAACACTCTCCCTCTTGTCAGCAATGATGATTTCAGTTTTGGCCTCTTGCTGTTTGTTTGATGCAAGCCTATCTATTTGTAGCAACAAAAGAATAATCCCCCTAGCCAACTAGCTGCAGCCAGCCAGGACCTAGTTAGAAATAAACGTTTGAAAAATCTGATGAATTTGCCAGGTGGAGGAGCTCGGCCTCAGAAAAAGGTAAGGTGAAGGTAAGGAGAAAGTTAAGAGAGCCAAGATTCTGTTTCCAGACAAGGAGTGATGTAGATGTCCTTGATGATGGTTACAAATGGAGGAAATATGGCCAAAAAGTTGTCAAGAACAGCCTTCACCCGAGGTACTTCAATCCATTCCTTCACACGTACACACATAAATATAAGATGTCTAGAAACTTTTAATTGCTGGAATGTTCATAGTCCATTGAATTCTTTGGTTGTGGGAATGAGAGGGGTAAGTGGAGATCTCCATTATCACTTTGTTCAGAAGAAATTTGGTAACAAAGTACGTTGAGCATATGATTCACAATAATTGCTTCTGAAGTGGTAAAAGAAGTGGGGGAGAATGTTGATCGGACACTGTTCTATCCATATCGTTGCCCTCTAAGTCACAGACAGTTCTGTTTCTTCATAGTAATTAATTTTTTTTGTATCGTTCTCATAGTTCAGTCATTGAACAATCGTGGTAACAGGAAAAAAAAAAATTTCTAAGCAAATCATGGTACAAGATTGATTACTTTATTGGAAAACTTAATCTTATTACCCATATTGTACTGAAATGTTCGCTTTAACATATTACGGAAATGATCAACATTCTTCAAGCTGCATTCATTTCCCTGTTCATGATATTTTTCACTTAAATCATTTTCCTTTTTTTTTTTTCTTGGTGCAAATCTTTTTGAGTGTTATTTGTAGCCTTCTTTGGTCTCACCTCGTCATTATTCTTGCTTGGTATTGAAATCAAAGCTTGATTTATTTCCAATTCACTATACAATATGCCAAAAAGATAAGTAGTAGTAGTAGTACGTATTATGTAGTTCTTCTTGATTTATCTGGCCCAAAGAGAGGTTTTGTTTTCTCTTTTCGTGGGGATGGGGGTTGGGCGGAAGAGAAATTGGAGTACCAGAATGGGGTTCAATAATGTAGGTGGAATGTTTCAATGCTTTTGTGATTAAAGTCCTGAAAAGCATTAGTTTTCCCGACACATTCTTGCATATTGTTCAAAAGTCATCAGTGATTCCCGACTCATTCTGAAAATTCTTTGGAGCATGGTAGGTACATATTTTGGAAGGTTTCATACAAAATTATTTGTGCTTTGTCGTATGAGTTTATGACAACAGTGAATGGAATACGAGAATGATAATTTAATTTGATGTGCTTTAGAATAAGGATCCATTGTTTAATCTCAGGCCCTTCTTCCTCTCTCTTTTGTTAGGTTCAGATTCTGCCTAAAAAAAACTATATGACTAATTAAGAGAAGTTTCATAAGTAACTTCGACTATCCTATTCACTTTAATGTACCTCATATATAGATGAGCATCTAACAAGAATTCTACAGCCTCATGATATGATTGTCTTATTCACCTTCATGCTTTTCAAAGCCTAATGTCCTGTTAAAAGAATAACTGCTGTATTATTGTGCTAGTGACCCCTTGATTTTAGATTTCAGTTCATGAGAATTTTGCTAAAAAGTTGTAAAAGTATTCAAGATAGCATTCGACTAGTGTAAATGTGAATGAAAACCTATAGTATATGATCATATGGTTAGGGAAGTATCAACCTCTTTCTAGGGAAGTATTAACCACACAACAATAAGCTCGGAGATTTTAACTTGAGTGTTGGAAGTGCAATATTTTTACAAGGTTCCTAAAAAATTTAGTAAAGAAAAATGTACATACTTGTAAAGTATATTACTACAAGTACTGTTGAAGTATGCTTTTAACTCGTTCCAAAAGTAATTTAGTTACGGTATAGTCAAATAGATTTGCTTTTTGCAGTACCTACTTATAAAGTGGAAGTCTTCTATAACAATATGCTCTTGAATGGTGTCACAAGTTCAAACACTACTTGTATTGAGGTCTATACCAAGTTCTCTCAGCACTACTTGGTGGATAGGGGAAAATTTTAGTGAGGGACCAATTGTTGCTACAGAATAATTTTGACCGAATATATCCACCCACAAATATGCAACTATAATGTGACAATGGTTGGAGAAAAATAAAAGAAAAGAAAAACTCACGAACATAATTTCTTTAAGGTAAAACAAGCCCTCTTGTAAAATATTTAGATTTCTAGGGAACAACTCGTGCGTTTTAGTGTACCACTTATACTTAACTTCCTTGTGTGGTCATCCAAAGTATCATTTATACTGCAAAACTTTAATCATACAATGATAGAAAAGATGTTAGGTGATCTTTTTTATGCACCTACAAATCTAAAGTTGGTTCATAGTAAAGGATATAGAGCTTGTTTACCAATGGCATTTGGAAGATTAACCCTCACCCCGGTAATGTACTTAGACACGTTTGTGCTTGGGTAGGTAGGTTGGATCTTAAGGAATCCAAAATTATTGAATCTAAGTTTCTGTGGACATAATACTATTTCGGTGCAATCAACTAAGGTTCAAGTCCAGCTATAATTTAATAATAATGTGTACTATATCTGATAAGTCGATCATACATTGCATCAATATTCAATCTTTCAGTTCATAATTTAGTTCTTCTGGATTCAGAGTTCAGAATTGATAATACATATTATTTTGATCTAATCCACATGAAGATTTTGAGTCTAATGTTGATGTCTTCAAATCTTCATCTGCACCTAGGTAATTTTTTGTATGCTCATTAAGAGCATTCCGGGCAGTGTTGTTTCACATAGTATATATGTTCATATTTGAGCTGAAAACCTTTTTGTTGAAATCCTAAGAATTAAATAAAATACTTTGAACGTGGTTTTAGACCATTCAAAACAGACAACAGCAAGTATAACAAAAGTGCAACATGCTAGGGAAATAAAAATTGGACTATACAGATCAACTTATTCTAATTATCTCCCTTCCTGAAGTAATATTTGTTTCCACTGGCCAACAAATATCCATCATTGCTAGGATTTCCATCTTTTGCATTATTTTGAGCTCTAATATGACATTGTCAATTACATAAAACCACTCGTGTCAATTATGAGCTCAAAACGTGATGATATTTCAGTCTAATGATCAATTGCTACGTTAATTGAGTAGGTAATTATTTTTCTTTGGTCAAATTAGTCTCGAGTTGGAATGCTAAAACTCATAATACTTCCTGTTGCAGTTCGAATTATTTGTTGAACCCTAGCTAATGATGAGCTATTAACTAATTGTGGGCAAGTGATACAAACACGCAGAAGTAATAGCTGCGTGTAAGGTGTAGCCTTATGGGGCACCATGTTGCTTTAACTAGCATCCTTAAAAGATGCATCCATGAAAGAAAATGTTTGCTGTTCATTCTTGGTGTTTCAGATACTAAGGAAATGTGAGGATTCTAGGTCTTCATTTGCTGTAATTTATCTATTGTAAAATGAACCAGCAATGATTTTACTAGGGATCATTGCATGAACCGAGCTAACTTTGGCGATCCCCATGATAGTCTAGTTACACAAGAGAAAGCAATGCGACTTCCCGTTGGGTGTGTGTAAGACTGATATGCATGGCATGACTACGAAAATTTTGTTGTTAAATCATGACTACGGCATTATTTGTTGATTGGATGACGATTTTTCAGTATACAATTGAAGGATGTCTCTGGTTGGTTTTGCAGAAGTTACTACAGATGTACGCATAATAACTGTAGGGTGAAGAAGAGAGTTGAAAGACTATCAGAGGACTGTCGAATGGTGATAACTACGTATGAAGGTAGACACAATCACTCCCCTTGTGACGACTCAAACTCGTCTGAACATGAATGTTTTACTTCATTCTAGCAGCTTGATTTGTATAACTAGTAAATTATATATTGTACACAAGCTAGTCGTTTGCATCAATCTTCTTTTTATGGTGTGATTAATGTTCCATCGAATAGCGTTAGCTTCAGCTCATCATGAGATTTAATTTATGTGTATAAAACTTCAACCTCTATATTCTAGTAGTTATATATGTTAGCTATTCCTCAAGCATATATCGTTTTACTGTCAGGTTGGTTATCAGGTAGTGCATATCATATGTTGATCTGCCAATTTCAACTTTCATCAACTGCCATTAATTAGGGTTGTTGTTCTCTTGTATTTAAAGATTCATGAGAACAAGACAGGACTAAATGCCCGTAGTACTTTTATTGCTTTTTGACCATATATTGTTACCGTGCTGGCTAGCTAGAAAGGGGACCTGCCTTGCATTCACTTTCAATTAATCATTCATGACTGATCATTATGCCCTTGACAATAGAAACTTTGCATGTGGGACAAAGAAACAAGAGCTGGTAACTTGTCCAATTCCTACAAAATAATTCAGCAATCGATTGAAGTTGTACTAACTTAAATTAACCTTGTTTGGATTGAAGTTTTCCAAAGAAAAATCTTTATATCTTTTTATTTCAAATACATCAAATCGTTACGATACGTTTTGGGTTGCCTATATTAAAATATTGGTGAAATATATTTTTATATATAAGAATGAAAGATTCACAACTCAAACATCAAATGCTTCAATTCACTCTAAACTGCATGCTTTATTGCCGTAATATAATCAGCTCTCCAAATCTCCTGCCGGTGGGCTGGTACCCTTGCTTGTTATCTTTCCCATAATTGTGATTTTGAAATTCATGCACTGTGTGGAGGTTGAAATCATGATGCCATCTTGACTATGGGATTCCGCCATTCCTTTGAATTTGGGAGCAGTCCCCTAAATTTTCTTTAGCTTTTTTGGGCTATGGTTGGAACAAGGGCGATTTGGTTGCTTTTCTATGAGCACACGTGAGATACCTTTGAAACCTGGAAAAGGTATAAAATCTTGAAAGCCAAATTAGTCATTACGATAATTTATTTGTCATTAGTGGTTAGTACATAGGATTATTGATTGGAACAGCAGTGTGGTTTTGAAGCAATGCAATCATTGAAGGTGGCACTGGACGAGTGATGCTTCCCTTGACCATTATTGAGTGCCTCTTAAAATACGTCGGCAAGAAAAGATTAAATAAAGCTAAATGATACTTCACTACTCTACTTCTTGGTGGTTTAGTACTTTTTCGTATAACTTTTATGTGATTTTAAAAGTTATATATAATTCCCTCATGATTTGAACTAAAGCATCAAAGTGATGGAATTTACATTCTATAACAGAGTCAACTAAAATATCAAAAGTACCCATATATAAAGTTGAAAATTATTTATTGACTATAGGGAAGCTATGTATATATTTTGAAAATAATAAAGGGGTTATGTGGTAAAATACTAAATCATCAGGAGTTAAAGTGCAATACATATTATGTTTATATATTTTGGTCATTTCAGCCATTTTAGTTTTTAAATAAGGGTTATCTCAACATTTTTTGCAGGTTCCGTTATACAGAATTATTTCCGTCACTTTAACACTTTAATCCAAATTATGAGAGGATTATGTATAGTTTTTAAAATCATAAGGGGATTATGTAAAAAATTAGTAAACCACATGGGGTAAAGTGTATTTTATCCTTAAATAAATTAATTTTGTGACTTCTTTCTTGTGTTGAACATTTCAATTTCATCACCAAACATGGGCCTACAGTCGTTTCGACCCATAATTTATGAGGTTGCTCCTATCTAATTTCCTTGTATTTCATTTCGGAACAGAAAGGATAGGAAATACTCAATTTTTTTTTTTCTGAAACGATAGGAAGGAAATACTCAATCATATTTACTTATTTGTTCAGAAGCTTTTCATCATTTCTTGCGTTTTAATCTTGGAAGCAAATTGGAGACTGCAATTGGGATTAGTTTTGGACAATATTTTAAATTCAGACGGGAGAGTAAACTGAAAAACCTTTCAATTTGTGGTTCGACCGATTAATTGGTTCAACCTCAGTTCAAAAAGGTTTAAAATTTTTTTATTTATTTTAGAAAATAAAAATTTAATAAAATTTTGTTGAAATTCTTGATTTTTATCGGTTCAACCAGTTTTTGATCGAGTTTGACCTATTTAATTGATTCTTTTGGGTTATTCGTTGAATCGGATTGGACGCATGACTGGATCGCAGTTCGATTGGTCGAACCGACTGATCAGGTCTGATTTTCAAAACACTGGTTTAGGAGGAGAAGAAGCAGAAGTTTCATTAATGCAAAATATGAGAGATGGAAAAGAAAGAAAAGGAACAAGAACCAATCTTGATGCTTGCCATTGAAGTTAACATACACCAACTATCATGGGTGTTGATAATACTTGTTTGTGTTCTAAACCAATTTCTTGAAGATTTTAACCAAAACTTAATCCATTACACTGTGCACGATTGTTTCCTAACCAGGAACCAAAAACCTGTTGATTTTGAGCCATAAAGCAGCGCAAATCACCATCTTAACTTTAGCTCATGGTCCTAGTCCCGACACGCGGGTTAATTCCTTCACCCAATATCAATTATGTCATGGGGATTATGGAAGGGCTCCCAATTTTCTGCGTACAATCTTGTAAATCCACCTCAACTTCTTGCCTATATCATTGATTTTTTATCACTTCATGCCCGTTTAAGTGATAATATGAAGAACTTCCTAGCTTATTTTTGCCATTTAGCATTTTTTTTATGCCATAATGACATGGTGAGGTATTAAATTGTCACTTGTAAAACTACCCAATTTTTTTAAAGATCATGCAAGATGCTAAACTTGTAAGTTTGTATTAAACGTAAATGTTGCAACTATATTATATTCACTTCAATCCATAAGCTTATGTCAAATCATGTGAGATAATAATAATAAAATAATCATGTGAGATACACATAATACTAATTTCCATGTTAAACATTAAAATAAAATTATACTTGTTATCTTAAATTGGAAGCATTTTTTTTCTTTTTTGCAGGGCTAAATTGAAATATTTTAACTTCAAAGGAGGCTAAATAAAAAGTTTTTGTTATTTGGGTGGGCCAAATTGAAATAACCCAAACAGGGACGGCACGTTTTCGCAAACTGCGTCTAGGCGACGCCGCATTGGCAGTTTGGCACGTTCAGGCGGAAGCGAACACTCTACTAAAAAAATAAGGACAGTCCACTTCCCTCTTGCACAGCACAACAATGGCTCCCAATTTGTCAAGATTCATGCAGCTTTACGGTAATTTCTGTCCTTCACTTACTACGTCTTTTTTCTTTTTCCTAATTAGTTATTTTCCTGAGTTCTAGGAGTATAATTTAAAATTGTCGCATAATTCGGAAAAATGTTGTTTGGATTTAGGGTATGATTTGCTGCTAGGTTCGATTGCGGTGTTTTATGTAGTCATGGCACCCTATACAAAAGTTGAAGAAAGCTTCAACATTCAGGTACATTTGTTGATTCTTCTAAAATTAATTTCTTGCAAGGTTTTTGGTTTCCGAGCTGAGTCCTATGTATTTGTTAATTTAGCTCTTTTTTTGTTATGGAAAAGTATGGAAAATTTTGGTCGTAGTGAATTTCTGTTGGGAATGGTTTAGATGTTATTTCATCGATTTTTTTTTTTTTTGTTTCTCTCAGGCAATGCATGATATTTTATATCGCAGGCATCACATAGAAAAGGTATACTTTTTTATACTTGACTTTGCATTTAGTTGTTAATTTGTGAATTTCGGCATTGATGATTTGTGTTTTGTTTTGCGATAACAGTATGATCATTTGGAATTCCCCGGAGTAGTTCCGCGAACTTTTATTGGTGAGTCTTAGTTTCATTCTCGACTTGGATGCTCAATTTAGTTTTTACTACAACGTGATAAATAATCTAGTTGAATGGAATTGATCATTTTTTATTTGAATTCAGAAACACTGAATTGTTGTCATTCTTGTGTCTTGACTCTTGCTTTGTGAAACAGACATTTATACCCGTTGCTCAGGCCTTTCTTTTGTGACTTTATGTAGTAAATTTTTTTCAGCCTACAACACATTGAATGACTTAAGTGCCTACAACACATTTATACTCGTTGCTCAGGCATTTTTTTCTGTCTACGGGAAAAGCAGGCTGGGAAGTTTAAGTGCCATAGGTGGCCCAGGAATTTAATGATCGGAGTGCAGTATTCTAATTGGATATTGGAGTTTAAACTACTAGCTCAATTTTAATTGGCTTATAATGAATTCTCCAAGTTCATTTCTGATCTAAAACTCTCAAGATACTTGATGTTGCAGATAAAAGGAGGCATCATAAACTTTTTTACTATAAACGTTGCTGTTTCTCTTAGGTGCAGTTAGGCAATGTAGGAATCCACTGATGTAAAAGCTACTAACACTATCTAATGCATTATTTATCTTTCCCGTTGAATATCATGATCGCATGTTGAGATCCTTGTTTCTGTGTGACTGTGAAATTGGCTCACTAAGTCATGATAAAAATATTGCCATGGTAACTGAGTTTTCATGGAGAAAATTTACTGATGATTATGACAATCCAACTTGCGCTTATTTTTTTTTTTTGGTAGGTGCTTTCCTTGTATCAGTTTTGGCCTCTCCGGTTGTCCTAGCAATGAATTTGATGCACTTGCCTAAAGTTTATAGTCTTTATGCAGGTGAGATCATACTTCTACATGATTTTATGGTGTTGCATAGTGCTGGGGTTTTCCCTCTTTTGATAAGGAGGAAAAATTTAAATGTCAACTTGCAACTTAAATTCTGGTTGCTTATCTTGTTTTTATTGTCTATAATTACATAAATGTTCCTCTTGGTGTACTTGAACAAGTTATGTGGAGATTCTTTGACTAATTCCTGTTCCATATATGTGAATTTTGCATTTGTTTTCATCGTTGACTGGTAGTTATATGTGCTTAAAAGTGAAAACTCTGGTTTACCCATGTAATCTAGGTTCCTATTACGATTAGGTTAAATAGTTGGCCTAACCCCTACTTGGACGAGATTTAATTTAGTTTAGAGGTTGGGTCACTGAAAAAGTTTTTAGTTTCTGGTTGTTGATTGAGGTGCTAAGTTGGTGACTTGGGACTGTTCGATACAAATTTTGGGAAAAGGAGTAGTACTAGTTGATAGAAACACTTGATGTACAACTCTTTAAGTATGCTGCATTGGTTTCTGAAGTATTCAGCTAAATGTTTGAACATATTTTCACGAGCATGAAACTTATAGAGCCTATTAATGCTTGCAAAAGCTGAATTCATTTACCTGGCAATCTGGCATGGTTTTTGGTGAATAATTTCTGTCCAATACATAACTGATTTGTAATCATGATGTATTCATTCTACTTGAAAGGATAAAATGTAATATAACAAAACCATTGGAAGAGATTCTGAGTTACATCTGGTGCAAAATTTGGGCGATCTTGTACATTTAACTCTATTTCCAATTTTATATCTGTATGGTTCCTATATCTTTTTCTTCATATCGTTTACAATTTTGTTTCTTAAGCATTGTATCTTTCTAATTCCTTTTTTTGGGTTTCTTCTCTAGTTCGTCTAGTGTTGAGTTTCCTCATGCTGTGCACGCTTCGATTTTTTCGCATTCAGGTATGTGTTTTATTCTATCTTTCTATTTTCTAGTTTTTAGGATTAGGTCCTATCCTTCACATTGTTACTTTAAAGTTGGAAGACATGGTAAAGGATATATCAATTGACTTACTTTATCCTGATTCGAGGAGCACAGATAACTTAAAAATAAAGTTTTTAATGACAATCAATCCCTTGCTCACAACATGGTGCTAATATCAAATTGTTAAAACAGCAGACTTGTCTAAGGATCCCTGGTTCCTTCTTGTTCTTCTACAGTATCTTTTAGTTCTTTGATAGCCAACTCTTTATGGACAATGCTTCAGCCTTCCTTTCATGAAAAGATAGATGATTATGTGGATCCTGGTCTGTTTAGCTAATGCACATCACTTTAAGTGCATCAACATGGTTCAACTTGGCTTGGAATTGGGGTGATAATGTCTGCTGAAAACTTCTGAGCCAAACTGCATCCTGCACTCTGGGTAGGTTGGTGTTGACTTGATGACCAATAGTGTGCTGTAATGAGTTATAGTCATCTAGGATCTGCTTACATGGTAAGAATTGGTAAGGAAAGAAAAGATTTGGAAATAGACATGTCACATCTTTTACACAAGTAATTAATGAACAAGTAGAAGAGAGGATCAAACTTGTTTTTCAGAAAGCCTAAATGTGGTGATAAAAGGTGAAAGCAAAGTGCAACACTCAATGAAACCTCATAGAAGTTTGATAATTTCAGTCTTATTTTTTCCCCTACCTTTTCATACTAAAGGATAAGTTCCTTCCTCTCTCATGTGTTGACATACAATAGAGAAGACAAAATTGTTATCTCTCTCTCTCTCTCATCATATTTTTTTCCTTTCTCTTCTGCTCCCTTAAAGTTCCTAACATAGTGTTAGGGCTGGAGAGGAGAAGACTATAACTGAAACTAGGACTGAGTTGTTTGTGGAAGATGAAGTATGAACTAATAGTGGGAGAAGAGTTAGTGAATCAGTCACTTTAATATGCCGAGTTTGTTTGGAAGGTTTCGATTTGTTCATTGTTTATTAACAAAATTTGAATTTCATTGCAACCATAATCTGAAAGTTTTTGTCTTTAATCTCAAAAGACTTGATTGTTATGTGTTGTACCTGGTGCTATGTTTGGTTCTTTTTGTCCTATCTTGTCGGTCGTGGAGATATCTGATGCTTGCAGGCAAAGTAACTTAATGTCATCCTACCAGCATCCTGTCTGCTTAGATAATGTTATTCCATGATGTTATCTTTTGTTGGTGATATTTGGTTATTAATACTGTATAATCTATATTGAACAGATCAGAAAGAAGTTTGGGTATCAGGTTGAAGCCTTCTTTTCGATATTGACTGCTGTCCAGTTCCACATGTTGTTTTACTGCTCACGTCCTCTTCCTAATATACTGGCATTTGGTTTGGGTAATTACGTTAATGCAGACCCACCCCTGGCTTGTTTTTCATAATGAGAGAGTTTGGGAATGCCACCTGGACCTAACCGGTTACATTGTTTTAATACTTTTTCAAATGCTTTGTATTTGAAGGATCCTCAGGAGGGCTATTTAAATCATTTTTAGCCTTATTCTGAAATATTTGACTGCAGACAAGACATTTATGTGGCTGATCTTCCCTTTGTCTATTTCCTCAGCTAATTTGGCATATGGTTTCTGGGTGAAAGGGAGTTTTTATGCAGCATTAAGATGCCTGGTATGTGTTTCTTCACAATAGAAGTTCTGTTGCATGCTGCTGGTCTTCTGCTGTTTAATCTGATTAATTAAGCTTGTGGATTTTTCTGGAGATATTCCTAAATAGTTTTTCCAATATGTGCTTCATATGATGTGTGTATCTGAAATATATCATTTCTTTTTTCAAAGTCAATGGCTTTTAGCTCACTTAATGAGGGCATGTGGACATGCCATGAAAATCTTGTGAGATTTATTCTCTGGATGTCCAGGTTATTATACTTTGTTTTCTTGGCACATTTTGAGTTCATTAATGCTTGTTCAACACTAAGACTTCTCAGTATTTGTCATTTACTTTTTCTAGTGTTACCCAATTCACTTTAGATGAATGAGACATATTCGTCTACTGTGGTTCATCTTAATGTCGAGAATAGGCTAATTGAGTGGAAGAAATGTAGCTTGTGAAAGTGCTGCCGAGGTTAACAACTATCATGCTTAGGCACATGATATGGACTCATAGGAAACACAGTCGTTTACTATTTAAGTACTACTTTAACTTGACCTTCATCATAGACCAGGGTGTTCCCTTGTCTTGATTGGACCTTCTTCATATATCAATGTGTTCCCTTGTCTCTGTTACATTTTGTAGTATATTTTGACTGTTAGATCATGCAAATGGCAATTTTTGAATAGATGTTTGAGATATATGAGGAGGCAAACAGTGTTAAGCAAGATGCTACCTGGCATATGTAAAGTTCCTTTTCTGGAGAAGAGTTATTTGATATTTTTGTCTGCCAGCTAGGTGTGCTGTTGGCATTTTCATATTATTTGAAGCTTACATGAAAAGTTGGGCGTTTAGCAGTTTACTTTTTCTTTTATGTGTTTTTTTTTCCTTTTTTTTGTGTCTCTGTGTGTTTTTTTGGGTGGGGGGGGGGGCGCTGCGTAGGTTCAAATAGTGTTCTTTAGCAACATACCAAGTAGTTTAGTTCTGTATAATACATTAGATGCTGTATAACTGGCATCTTGCCTTAGCTATTTGAAGCCAATTGTTGTGGACTTAAGGTTTTGCTGTGTCAATGCACTGCCACTGGAGTTACAGTTATTTTATAATAGCCAGTGTTCAAATGAATTGCTGTGCTGGATTAAGTCCTACATGGGGCTTTGAGAAGCTACCTCTAGAGACTTTAAGAATCATTTCTTAAAAGTTCATCTTCTGCGGTCCTGGCCTCATACTTAATGGGTTGACCTCCTACTGAGGATGTTTTGACTTTAGTGGAGGTGACTGTAATGCAAAGTATTCTGGTTTTCCATATTGGATTCTCTGGAAATATTTGATAGGTTTGTAAATCTCTAAGTAAAGTACTAATAACTTCACTGAAACATTTTGGCAAGTGGCTTGGGCTCCAAAAGAAGGTGGGTCACATTTATGCTTGCTGTGGTATATTTTCATAGATGCCAGTGAAGGGTTTGCAATAAGGATTAAAAGGCAATGTTTGTATACCTTAAGTTGAATTTCCTTGGGATTCGACATTTTCTATATTGGCACTTCCCAATTCACTAATAGGACTACCATTTTTGTCATACTTCTTAAAATTGCTCTTCTTTCATTGTTTTCCTTTCTACTGCTTTTTTCTTTGTTTATTCTTCCATTTCATGTCTAATCACAAGGCAAACCTGACAACTTTTTTGTTGCTAGCTTGCACCAATTAATATCTATAGCTTTTATACTAATGAGAAACCATAAACAAATATGGCCAACTCTCTCTCTCTCTCTCTCTCTCTCTCTTAAATTTTTTTCCATTTCATTTCTTGTGGAGTTATTATGTGTTTGTAGGTTATAGAATTCTATTTTCTGATGTCAGATATTTGCTACAATCATCTTCAGATGTGATATGCTCTTACTCATTTCTCCACTTGGCCTGGAGCTACTGCTGGTAAGCATTGTGCCTTTGTCTACATTTGGTGTTGTCTTTTTAGACCTTTTTTTTTCATATATACATTTTCCTGCATGGTTTTTGCCTTTTTAGATCTATTTATTTCTATATTTTGCTTTCCTGTGAGGTTGATTGTTCACCATTGAAGGATATGCACAGGAAACCCATAACTGCATGTTCCAAATCATCTTTTTGCATGGATTATGAACTATTACTTTATAATGGGCGATTTTTGGAACATAAAAGTGTCAAAATATCCAATAACGCAAAAAGATTATTGTGTATTGATTTGCTATAGTGATCAAGTTTAACTACTTCATTGCTGATCCTCAATGGAATGAGAATTTGGAAAAATGAAAAATCCAGTTGTTCCAAGTACTATTTATGTTTGATTTATTCATTTTGCTCTTATCCTCTGAATAGGCCCCAAAATGACCTGCAGAAGCACCTTGGACAAACTCCACTGAGCTCATGTTAAGCTTCACTTAACAACATCTAATGGAAACTACATATCTTAATTCGCAAAACCTTGAAGAAGATACCTCTGTTGACCACTTTTTACCTGCCATTCTTGTTATCACTATTCAGTATTTTAGTTCTTGTCTGTAATTAGTGAATTCTGAAGTTGTGTTGAGCTATGACTCTAGAATTTTGTGGTATCTATGCTTTATCACTGCTGCAACTCGGTATCAACATATTCTGTGGACATGCTTTGTGTTATCTATTGCTAAATATGCATATAATTGACAATATAAGGTGTTTTTAGGATAACGAGGTTTTTAAATGCATTTAGTGCTTTGCACTTATAATTGTAAGTAGTCCAATGGCCTAAAACATCTATTGAGTTGAGATATGTTATTTGAATGAAAATCGATTTTTTTTATTAATTGCGTAACTGTACTTCACATAATTGACGCTACGTGTTGTAAAAGGTAAGGAGAACAAGTTTGTACTTCACACAATTGAGTTGAGACACGTTATTCGATGATTTGTTTGCTTCCTAATGCGTTTGAGAGCAGTGTCTTTACTGTGCTTTTGTTGTCTCAATAATATATCATTCTTTTGTTTGGCTATATCAAATGCAGTCAAAATCAATTTCTTTGTGGAAGGCAATAAGGACCTGCATTGCAACTACTTTGTTCTGCATAGGTAGTGTTGTACTTTTAATCAATATTTTTTTTTTAATGTAACAAAATTCAGAAATCTTTCTGTTTTTTATACTGGTTATGATTGCCATGTAGTCATTCTATTAGTATAGTGACTGGAATACATGACATGCTGTCTGCATTACAGGTCTTACAGTATTGGTTGATTCAGTCATGTGGAGGAGGTGGTTGTGGCCTGAGCTAGAAGTTTTCTGGTTCAACTCTGTCTTAAATCGGAGTTCTGAATGGGGTGTATCCTTCATTACAATATTTCCAAAAATTATGGTTAATCTTATGCAATGCATTGTTCAGCTATATCATTGAAGTGAATAGATCCTTGTTCTTTCATCTCGTACAAAGTTCTATATTGCATTTGTTTTATTTATGTATCTATAAAGGTCCCAATAATTTGTCTGTCATATGACAAAAACATTCATCTTGTCTTATAAGTATGCACATATGCCTTGGTATCTTGTATCTTAAATCCTCCTGTTCCATAACAATGGAGATTACCAAACAGCATCAAGTTACATTTTGAAATGTGGAGCATATAAATGGTAAATCGTCCTTAATACTTCTTTTCTCCAGATACATCCTATTCACTGGTACTTTACTTCAGCCCTTCCGCGTTCCTTGCTTGTTGCATATCCACTCTTTCTGGTTAGTGGAAGCTTATATTAGGTCAAACTCCCCATGCCTTTCTTGTTGCATATTACTTTTTCTGGTAGATGTTAAAGCTTTTGTGAAGTTAATCTCACTAAAAATTGAGAGGTCAAATTATTATTTAATTTTCTTTTGGGTGGACCCTGGCCGACTAGACTGGGAATGCAACAACAATGATGGAGATATTGGAGGATGGATTGAGTCAATGACCTACATATTTCATTGATTGCTTTGTTGCATGGACTCCTTGTCCAAGTCAACTGTGTTAACATGATATGTTATCATTGCTGGTAGAGCATGTGTTAAATCTGGTCAAACAGAGGTTTTTGACTTTTGGTTCATTAAATAATCAGTTTTACAATACCTAGTACGATATTGAATTGCAGACATATAAAGGTTTGTCCTGTGAGTTTAACAATTTTTTTTTCCTTTTAATGTTTCTACCATTCTTTGACTCAAGGGAAAACGGAAAGTACTGAAAAAGAAAGGGATAATAACTAGTCTCTTTGGTTCACTGCTAAAGTTTTAAAAGAAATTAGTTAGTTTTTTATAGTTCTTAGCATTCTAAGTTCAATAAAATCTTTTTCCTTGCAAAATTTTGTAAATTTTGTAGGATACAGAATGCAGGAATCTGAACTTCCCTGCAAACAAATATACTCAAAAGATTAAATAGCTTCAATGCCTGAAGACCACCTAAATAAGTTACATTACTCTTGATGAGCATGCTTTCAGCGTGAGAGCATACTGACAGATGAAAAATCTGAGAAAAAAGAAGGAAGATCTGTTTGAGGTATTTGGTCGGAAGTAGGAGAAAGAAAACCACAAACACTGGCTACAAAATGGGGAGGATTCTAGGATGTTTAGGAGAGTGCTGTCCACCTGGTGGAATTGTGTTGAGTGGTGCCTAACTTGGTTAAGAATCTGCTTACTCTATTTGGCAAATTATCCTTGAAAGTTGTGGAATGTGGAGAGAAACTGCAGAGCTTTTGATGTTCTGGAATGATTGCATCAGTGTAATGCCAATCATTCAAATTCCGCTTATGTGGAGGATTATCCTAATGGTCAACTCTGGTGAAGTTCTTGGAGCATGTTTATTACTTTGAAAGGCATAAAAACCTCTACCACATTATTTTACTTGTTAAAAAAAAATTGCTACCTTAATTTTGAGGTTTTGATAAGTGGGGTGCGGCATTGATGCTTATGTGTTCTGATGCGTTAGTTCTTGTGTTTACCCAGAAAACTAGAAGAAAAAATCCATGTATAGTTGTCTTATGATGTTCATCTCAAAAGTTCTATGCTCGTTGGTTAGACTTCTCTTTTCTCGTATTTCCTTTTCTGGGTCTGGGTTTAGGTTTTGGGTCTGGAATGCATTTGGCCCATCCTGGGGACTTCAAAGGCAGGAGTTCATGTACTAGGTCTGTCTTTTGGTGATCAGGTGGGGTATCTTGAGTTGGTCGTTAGCAAAATAATGTGGTGAACATTGCCACAATGAACCAATGCTTTAGGATATCAGAGTCTTAAAATTGTTGAACACATAAATTCCTGCATTTTACTTGGCATTCTGTCTTGCAGCTTGGAGCTTTTCTTGATAGAAGGGTTCTCTTCTATGTTCTTCCTGTTCTCTCATTTGTTATACTCTATTCAAAGCTTCCACACAAGGTATCACCTATTGACTTTGTTATCAGGTGTTTACTTGATCAACACTTTTGGTACCTACTAACATGAATGATCTCATTGTGGCAGGAACTGCGGTTCATTATTAGTTCCCTTCCTATCTTTAATATGGCAGCAGCAGTTGCAGCTAGCAGAATGTACGTAGTTTTTCTTTGTTCTTATCATTTTCTCTGCAAACATGCTTCTGCAAAATCTATATGTTGTAAGATTTTCAAAAATCCAATGAAACTTGTACTGTGAAGTTCCTGAGGATTGGGGTTTCCACTATTGAGCTTGGACTCTGGACTGTGTATGCAAATTTTGAGTTGTGGATATGGATGTGGATATTCTGGGCAGTTATTGGATTTTTATTGGTACTAAATGTGAAAATCTTTCAAGGACATGGTATACATACTCTTTTTTTTTGTTTATTTTTTTGTATTCTCTCAGACTGATGGCTTTTCTTCTCACGTGTTGGTCTTTAGTTTGTAATTCAAGATGGAATTTGCTTGCTAATTCTAAGGACTTGAATTTTAGTCATTTTGTGGGTAGTTATCACATTTTTTCCCCATCCTGTCGTGTGATACTGAGTGGTTCGTTGGTTCAATGGAATCTAGGTGATGCTTAGAATTCATTAGTGGCACAAATGACATTAGTGTTCATAGCTTTCCTTTCCTGGAGTGAATATGTTGCGCCCCCAGAACTTATGAGATCACATCTTCACAGGAGAGCCTTTCTGCCCAATTTCCTGTTTGAGGAGTACGTATCACACATGGAAGGTCTGTAGAAAGCTGTAATATGTTCCCCCTTCGTGTCTATGGTCTCACAACTAGTATTTAGATGCAAAAACCCTTCAATGATGGTTTATTCAGGTGATTGTCAAACTATTAGTATTGAGGAGTCATCTGAAAGGTATTTACCAATACTTTTTAAGTTCCTGTTTGAGATCAGTTACAATGCATAAGATGCCTGTAGCTTCTTACTTGGAAATTTTCTGCCCCCATAATTAACCAACTTTGGAAGTTGGAGTTGACTTTACGGTTACACTTACTTATTCTTTTGCACATTTTAAAAATATATGGTGTCTTTTTCATTTTTCAATGATTCTGTAGTATATTTTTGTTCCTTGCCTTAAAGTTGTTGATACTTTTCTGTAGATACAACAATAGAAAGAAGGGCTTGTGGAGATATCTTAATATTGCTATGCTGGGATCAATTTTGATTAGGTATTACCTTGACTAACCTTGTTTAAATGGTATACAATGAATTATTTGCCTTAGTCATGCTCATCATTGTATTGTAGTCTAGGGTGCACGACCATGATTTTTATGGCGTCCTACGATAACTATCCCAGTGGCTATGCTCTAAATGTTTTGCACAGAACTGGTTAGCTCTCTCTCTCTCTCTCTCAACATTAAGATAAAAGCTTACTGAGAGCTTTCCATTTCTTTCTTTGAGTTAATCTTCTGTGTGCTGACTGCTTGATTTATGACTGCTTTTGGAGATTCCTCATTGCTTTTACCAACTTATTGGGATTGCATCTCAGTTTTTATGGTTTGAAAACCACGAAGAAATAAGGACTTTAGTCTAAGGTATAAACTAAAAAATTTACTCCACTTTTTGGCCTTTCAGTTTCTATTCAATCATGACTTTGGTACTCCTCACCTTTATGCAGTTTCATGTATTCCAGCTCTCTAATCAAGATTCCTGCTCTTTGCCTCCCTACCACTCTCTCGCCTTGCCCGCATCTAGAAATCCTTTTACATTTTTATCAATTGGCTATTCGTTTTCAGGTGATGTCTCACCAGATCCTTGTTATTGCTGTTTCTAAGTGTACCTCTTTAAGATGCCTTCATGGAAGGCACTATGCAAGATTGCTTGTGAGCTCTAGTAGGGACCTTAGGTTATTTGTATGAACTGTTAAAACTTGTCAGGAGATATTTGGTGTTAGATTATTATTCAGTATAGAGAAGTAGAGTTTTGTCTAAGCTGCTTGAGTGCTTAGCAGATAACTAAGACTTTGACGTCTCCTCTCAAAGATGTGATAAAGTGAGAAACTTTTCAACGCTTTTCTCATTATATTGGTAGGAAAAATTGAGCAATTCCTGCTATAACTGTCCCAGAACGTCTCAACATTTCAATCCTATGCAGGGCTTCTATGTGTGGACTACCTTAAAGGCAGAGCATTGCATAGTGCTTTAAAATTTATGCTGAAGATACTATATCTTTGAGCTTCTAAGTTCTATATTTGGACTGTCCAATATAGACTATTATCACCTGCATGAGTATGGGATTAAGGGACTTTTACAGATCTGATTGCGATGCCTGCTTGGAGTCATTTAAACAGTCCTGTTAATGAGGAATTAATTTTTGAATTCTGAGTTAAGTTATTGCCTCCCATTTAGAAACTTCATTGTATGAGTGGATGCAAATATATTGATGAGTTGAAAATATGTGACGTTCAAACTTTGCAATAAGGTAGAATCTTTGGTGGTGTCTCAGGTTCTTTTGTTATTCAAGTAGTTGGAAAAAGTCAAGTACATTTTCCTAGTAAAACAACTTGAACATTAGTTTTATTATTATTTTTTTAATAATGAAGCAGGAAACACAATACAGTTTGTAGAGAACCAAAATATACACATTAGGGTGGATATTCTGTTCAGTCTATGAGGACTTCGAGTTCTAGATGGAAGTATCACATCTGTTGTCAAGTAGAAAGGTCCTGGAGCTGAAGTAGTGACTTTTTGCTTTTCCTTGTCCCTTCTTCAAAATTTGATCTAAGGATTTTTACTTCTGTGATTGCCATGGACATTACTTTAGTTAATAGTCTTCGTGAAGTTATCTTGGTTATATGACATTATATAGTCTATGCAGAATTAAAGCAAATTTAAAATAAAACAAGGAACGACTACCATTTACATTTTTCCAATTTATTTGGGAGAGTTTGCTAGTCTATTTATATGTCCAACTCACAAAATGGAATAAGTAGTTACTTTTTAGTGAGGCATGTGTGTATATGTCTTCTCTGCTGCTTCTTTTCTTGTACAAGTGTAGCATTTGAGCTTCCAGTTATTGAATTGCATATTCTTAATGGAAACTTGACATGCTTTTACAGGTCAGCTGACAAACAATTCAACTGAAGTGTGGGTTCATATTGACACCTTATCTGCAATGAATGGAATTTCACGATTTTGTGAAAATGACTATCCTTGGAGGTATGCTAACAATTTTTCTTTGATAAATGTTACAGTCATGATCTTGTTTAATTTGGAAGTCATGATCTTGTTTAATTCGGACATAGTAGGATGTCTACAAGAAATTATGGGAAGACAAGCATATTATGTATTGGAAAAGGTAATAATGAAAGACTAGCATATTAGGTAGTCCACAGTGTATTGGGTCTTTGCTTGCAATTTATGTTAAATAAGTTTTCCAGTTGGCTCTGTCATTTTGTTTGTGTGATGTCCTGTCATTTTGTGTCTGGTGTATGGTATTAGAAAAGATTTTTTCCAGGAACGCTTTTAAGGATTTTGAAGTGTTTATTTTTCCATTGTTGATGGATTACTTGGAAAAGTGAAGTGCAATTGCAGTTGACCCATAACTCTGTCAAGTAATGGCTCTACCAAAGGGATTCAATAGCATCTCAGTCAAGAAGGTCCACTGTTGTACCTCCTTGGTTTCCCTTCCCTTCCCTTCCCTTCAGATTTGGTAATTTTAGATGATAGTCAAAAAAGTTTATTACGGGTGATCTGGGGGTTTGGTGTAAGATTGTTTCTGAGGAAAAGGATACAAAGTGGCCCGCAAGAAAGATTTTTAGGTGAACAAGGGGTCAAGGAACATGGAGGAATGGGAGGTCTTCTGAAAATAATTGAGGTTTTTGCATCATGTTTTTAGACTATTATAGTGCCCATCTTTAGTGCATTGTCTTTTTCAGTAGTCTTTGTTTGAATTTGTACTTGAAGGAAGTTGTCACTGGATTTTCAGTCATTCCCTTCTACATTTCTTACCTTAGTCTTTTGTATCCTTCTGGCGTGAGGCAGGGAATGTGGGTTTGGGAGTTGGAGGTTATTTTTATGTTGATGTGTCTTGTCATTTAGTCACCTATCTCAGACTTCCTGTTCTTTGTTTGCCAATCCTAAAGAAGAGATGCATCATCTTAGTTGCTTTAAATTACAGGTGAAGAATGTGTTAAATAGTTGTTTTTTCCCCCTTGTTTGGCAAAAGATATTAATTTGCAGTTGCACTACTTTCACCGCCAGGTTTTGCGAATCAGAAAGCCTTGATATTGGATGAGCCTGAGTATATTCAATAAAATCCTAGAATCTTTTGCATTATAAAAACTTTGATTAGTCTTATCCCATGTGACTTGAGAATTTTCTGTTCTCTTGCGTACCTGACTTAGATATGCTACCATTATGTGATTTAGGTACTCAAAAGAAGAAGGGATTCTTCTGGATCAATTGCAGAAAAGAAATTTTACATATCTTGTGAAGTAAGCTTGTATTTTTTTTTTTTTTTTTAATGTTTTTTTTAACACTTTAGGGTTCCTTTTGGCAAGACTGTGCATTTCTCTTTTTAACTTAATAATGTCAATTGGATTGTTTCACAAACTGAACAAAGGGATTAACATTCGAAATTTCTGATAGGGGGGTGTGTAAACTGTACGACAAATCGATGATAAGTTGTTATAAATGTTTATGTAGGACAGCCCATGTGATTTTGGCCTTTTAGAGTTGTTAACTTGTGAGAAAGCTTCAGTATGTGCTGGGATCATTTCTTGCTCATTTATTATAGGATCACATTTCTCTTATTGTATTCGTTACCCAATGAGGTTTTAATCATCAAGTTGAGCGCAAATGGAAGAATAGAGTTTGGGTTGTTGTGGTGCCTACTTGTATTGAATATGAATCCAGATCATTTTGTGTTTGCTAGCCAGATAATGTTGTTGATTTTGGAGGAATATTTGCTGGAGAATACATAATGGTTTTGTATAGAGGCCAATAGAGAACGACCAATCACTTTCGATAAATCCAATCAACTATTGATGCCATTTATGTACTCCGAATCTGTATTTTACAGTGAGCATTCCAACATTACTGGTTTCCGGTGTCTTTCTTCCATTCATGGATTCTCTACTGCAAAGCTTCGTATTGGCTTTCCTCCAATATTACTGGTAAGCTGCTGATGACTCAAATCCCGTTCTCCTTTCCTTCCTTCAAAATTCTGTCTCATTAATAGCATCTTTTTTCTTTTTTCTCCTAACACTTGCAGGCCAAGGAACCCAAGGTATATATTCACGGAAATGTTGAAAACAGCGAAATATTGGTAAGACAATGGCCAGGATGCTAAGATGTTGTCAGTGCTTAATCAAATTCTTCAGTGGCTTCATTTAGTTTAGCTCTTTCTATGGGTGGATGTGATCTGCTAAAAAAATCTTACTATTAAGCTATACAAGATGGTATAATATATTTTTAGAGAATTTCAGTTACTGTGGGCTTGAGGGACTTGTGGTGTAAAACTTGATTGCAATTCATGTCTAGGCAGAGGATAAAGAGAGATTAGAAGTTACTCATTCACAAAGTTTTGAATATTTCTTCATCATTTACCCCCTCTTAAAAAACAAAAAAAAATCGTTAAATTGAAGCTTCAAGATTTTCAACTACTTTGCATGCATAGATTCCCAGATTCAATGGCTATAATTTCGAATTTATGTTTTAAAATTCAAATACAACAAACTAATGTAATATTTCCCCGACCTCGAGGGACCAAAACTGTAATGTTTTTCCTAAAGTTGCATTGCATACTTCGCTCTTTTTCCAGTGGCCGGGTCTCGGCCGCAGGGGTCCTTTTCAACCTGTCTAATTCTCTTCCTTTCATACTTTGCTTTCATCGTTTGACGTGACAGCACCCAAAAAAAAAAAAAAAGGGCCAAGATTTTAAGTTTAGTGACAAAAAAAGTTACTCGTGATTTAAGAGATGACCGAGTCCAGCAGAAGACCAAAAACTCCTCACTATTAATTCCCCTCTGTAATAGTACCGGTGACTTGACTTAGTCCGTAGTACCGTTGACTTGACGAGTATATGCCGAACAAGTACATTGCATATAACTATAAGAGGGTGATCCTAATCGCACAATGACGGACAACTTGGAAAAATCATCAGAATTCCAGTCCTCTTTCGCCGGCTCTTCCCATCCCATGGCAAGTCCTGGTCCCATACAAAGACCATCCGTCGCTGCTCAGGCATCTGCCTCCATGCCTCAGAAAGATTCATCCATGGCTTCTCGAAAAGATCATGGATACAGCTTCAACCTCACCTGTCCTCTCGGCATCCCTCCTACTTCAGAAGCAGCAGCCATCAGAGTAATCAAAAACTTGGCCTTTTTCGGTTTATACTACATGCTGTTTGTGTATATCGTTCTCTTCATTGCTCTCATCCCAGAGCGCAAAGTCTCTCTTGTTTACTTGGTGGCTACCAAAGAAATAGCATTTCTTTACCTGCTTTTACTGCGGGCGCTGCCTAACTCCTTTGTCCTGCACAAGATGATCGACAAACGCTTCGGCTTGTTCCTGTTCTGCATCATCGCTGGGGTTTTGATGATCGTAACAAAAGCTGGCGTGCATCTCTTGATCACTTTAGTCTCCACAATTCCGGCCGTTTTGGTTCATGCAGCTTTATGGAAGGAGGACTTTCATTTATTAATCGGTGAAGAGAACAGCCCTGATGCTGAGGAGGACTTGGTTCCGCTTGTGCAAAACAAAAGTGCCGGCGATGCAGCTGATGAGTCTCCGAGCTTAGTATGAGTTTGTATTATTTTGTATTTTGGAAAGAAATATTTTAAGGATTTTTGATGTTTGATGTCATGATTGATTTGGGGGGTTTTGGTTTGTGGACGTGTGGTAGGTGGGAATTGAGAGCCAGCAATTTTCCCTTGTCAAACCCGAATAAATTATAATTGAATGAATATAGAAGACGATATGAGGATTATACCACATTTGTGACATCTTATACCTTGTTTTTTTTTTTTTTTGTCACACTCTTGTTTTTACACGTATGATATATCACATTGTAGAATTTCTCAGAAGATATGTTTTTTTTTTTTACAAATTAAAACAAGGATATAATATTTGGAAAATTATTAGCACATAGTACTGCCACAAGTCTGGATAAGATCGCTGTTTTCAATGAATTAAATCACTTGTAGTGCTGTGGTTTGTGGAATATGGGGTTGAGCCAATCAAAATTTCGAATGAAAAGTTATGAAGATGCAACGGGGTTGACAAATTATCTACTCAGTTTTCAAGCGCTGCACTTTTTTTTTACTAGGGAGAATTTCCCCCCGGTTATGGATGGCCAAGGACGTCTGCAAATGACTGCTACTAGTCAGTTTCACTTGAAAATCCAAAATTCGAAATCAATTCATTTAACTCGAGCTCGAATTTGAGATCAAGTTTACTTGCGTTGCGAGCTCAATATGCATAATTAAATTCAATACAAATTTGTGAGATTCAGCGCAGCTCCAATACTTGATTTAATTTCCCTTCCTCTAAAATTATAGGACTACAATACATTATGCTTCATACGAATCATACCAAAGGGGTGGGTCGTTTGAACTTTGAAGAAGAAAGCCAGAAAATGGAGGAGGGCTGCAAAATCCTGTAACCAATCCAAATCGATATATTAAAATTGGAAATGAATTCGCATGGCTTGATGCTCACATTTAATCGCACAGATTGGCGTGCTAGTTAACTATGTGAACCATTACTTGAACCCAACTACACTAAAACCTTCTATTGTACAATATTCAATTCTAGATTAACCAGTATATATCTTATTGAATGCATAACGTCAAAATTTACTATAAGCTGCCTATTTTATTCCCAAGATTCTGTTAAAAAAAATATTTATTTTTGGTCATCAGACGGCAACAACAGTATTAACCTACTTCTACACTATAAAAAAAGGGAAAAAAAAAAAAACCCTAAAGAATTAGAAGGAAAGAACCTGCCACTACCACTAGAGCAAACTGATGTAATAATAATACTCCATTAAAAAAAAAAAAAAGGATCTTAATAGAAATTTGAATTCTTGTATATACACTTAAAGAAGACCTTATGCTCTCCTCAAATGGAGTACTCAACTCTTCAAAAAAGATTTTTTTTTTTTTATCTTTGGAATTAAATCTCCTTTTATTTGATTACGTACAATTAATTAACCTGAAGTTAATATTGAACTGAGAAAATTTCGAACTAGGATCAACATATGGTTTGCTCTTGGAAGGCAAAATACTGAGAAAAGTTTTGTGGTCTCTTTTGGAAACTACAGGAGTTAAGCGGGGTGCGACCAAAATCTTGCTCCTTATCCGCTCCTATGTTTCCTCCGTCAGCCAAAACCCAGAAGGGCTCTCAAATTTGCCCCAAAGCCGCCTCCCCTTCTTTCCCCAGAAGTGAGCTTCACTCCCAATTTCGCAACTCATCCATCACAAAACCATGCTACTCCAACCCACTACACCAAAACCGTCTTTCAATCTCCAGAATCATGGACACCAGAACATGTGTTTATCATCTAATTTCTCTTACTCGAAGTCGTTCCCATCTGGGTTTTGCTATTCATCCATGATTAAGCCCATAACAACTCGGAAAAATCTGGTCTTGACATGTTCTATCTCACAGGTGCATAGCTACGGGACGGTGGATTATGAGAAAAGGCCAACTGTGAAATGGAATGCTGTATACAAGAGGATTATTTTGATGGATGACCCCAAAAAGGGCTCTGCCAGTGTGTTGAATCAGTGGGAAAATCAGGGGAAAAAGCTCACCAAATGGGAGCTTTCTAGAGTTATTAAGGAGCTTAGGAAATTCAAGCGTTTTAACCTTGCTCTTGAGGTAAGAAATATAATCTTGTGTTTCTGCCTTTTGCTTGATATTGATGTCTTCTTCGTACATATTGATTTATAAGTGGTTGTCGGTTCTGTGGATGACTTTGATTATGGTTTAGTTTGATGCATGTTTTGATGGAGATCCGAAAATCAAAATGTGTAGTTATCTTTGGTTAACTGTGGTAAATGTAGGACGTTTTGTCGCTGTATTGTTATTATCACTGAGGTGAAACATGAATGTACTTCCATGTATGGTGATTATAACCAGTGCTCGGCTATTTAGAATTGCTGATTATGGAAAGAAGAAGCTTTATATTGTGTATATTTGCTCCTTTAAAATACATATTCTGTTGGACTACCAAATTTCTGAATTTAGTACATTTTCTCCTTTGAAAATATATGCTATTTGAGTGTGCATCTTTTTGTGTGATAAAATTGTGCGAACGATGTCCAAATAGGATAAAGGAGTCTCTTTTAGCAAGCTGTTGTTGGTTTTTCTACTCTTTATTTCTTTTCAGGGCAGCATGTGAATCTAGCTGGTTTGTGATCTATAGGTGTACGAGTGGATGAATAACAGGGAAGAGAGGTTTAGAATAACCACTAGTGACACTGCTATCCAATTGGATCTGATTTCCAAAGTGCACGGAATTTCAAGTGCTGAAGATTACTTTCTCAAGGTGCCAGATCCCCTCAAGGATAAACGTATATATGGTGCACTTTTAAATGCTTATGCGCGTGCTAGAAAGAAGGAAGAAGCTGAATCTTTGATGGACAAAATGAGAGATAGAGGTTATGCTTGTCATGCACTTCCATTTAATGTCATAATGACACTCTATATGAACCTTCAAAAATATGACAAGGTTCAGTCTGTGATTTCAGAAATGTTGGAGAAAAATATTAATTTAGACATATATTCCTACAATATCTGGTTGTCATCATGTGGTGCCCAAGGATCTGTTGGGGATATGGAGGAAGTACTGGAAAGAATGAAGCTGGACACAACCATCAATCCAAATTGGACAACTTACAGCACGATGGCGACATTGTACATTAAGTTAGGGGAGATGGAAAAAGCTGAAGACTGTCTAAAGAAGATTGAGAGCAGAATCACTGGCCGTGATCGCATTCCTTATCACTATCTGATTAGTCTCTATGGTACTGTTGGAAAGAAAGAGGAGGTATATCGTGTGTGGGACCTCTACAAATCAATATTCTCCATTATACCAAATTTAGGTTATCATGCTGTAATATCATCTCTCATTAGGGTGGGTGATATTGAAGGTGCAGAAAAGATTTATAATGAATGGCTTTCAGTTAAGTCAATGTATGACCCTAGAGTAGGGAATCTTCTATTAGCTTGCTATGTTAGGAATGGGTTTTCTGATAAGGCTGAAGCATTTTTTGACGAAATGATTGAAGTTGGAGGAAGGGCAAATTCGGTGACATGGGAGATTCTGGCAGAAGGTCATATCAGGGACAGGAAAATTTCGGAAGCTTTGTCTTGCTTAAAGAATGCTGTTTCAGCTGAGGGATCACAGAGCTGGAGGCCAAAACCTGTAAATGTTTCTTCTGTTCTTAAGCTTTGTGAGCAAGAAGGTGACATATCAAGTAAGGAGGCTTTGATGGGGGTGTTGAGGCAAGCCGGTTGTCTTGATGATGAAACTTATATGTCATTTATTCCCATATCCACTGGATCTTTTACTGGAGTTGAACAAGCAATAGATAGGGATAGAACTCACGATGATGATGCTGGATCTGAAATAGTTTTCAGCCAGCTGCAGGAAAGCTTGTGATATCTTTTACACTCTTAATTATACCAAATGCAGTCTGAAATGCAGGGCAAGTGGAATGCATAACTACCTCCTCTTCAGGATAATTTGTGAGTCCTCAAGATACTGCAAAGTAAAACAGCCAAGGGTGTGTCTATTATTTTGAACAATGCTCAGAAGTTTCACTTGCCTTTTAGTTGTTTAGAGATCTAAGAAGCAGTAGTTTTTGCCCATGTGGATGGATGAGTATCTTCTGTCTCCTTTTCACACATTACATCATCTAGTACTCCATCTCTGTGCTTTACTTTATTTAACAACTGTTGGAGTTGTTTTATTCAATGAATACTGGGTAATTTTTAGTGAAATCAGATGTGGTGTTCAGTTTTATGCGTAGTGAATATAAATCCTTCTGAACTAACGTGTACCCAAGATTTAATCATATTTTGCTCCTTCTCTCTTTCCTTCTTTTTTTGGTGGTAATTTGAACTCTCTTAGAATTGCTTTTAATGTGAATTTCATATGCATTTATCAATTTTTCTTTCTTTAGTTGAATCAGACACGTTCTTTGTATTGTTCTTGTACATCCAGAGATCTCTTTGAGATTTAGACCCTGTTCTTCATGATGTTTTATAGTCTAAGGGTGTTACCAACAAGCAGTGCTCGGAAGAGATTGATGACTGGTATAGCTTCCTGCATTATTATCCGCTATTTTCTTTGTACCTGAAAATTTTATTCTTTCTTTGCCTTCTTCCTGGTTCTCTTGCTGTTCTTTGAAATGGTAAATACGAAATTTAGATGGTTGCCTGGTACTTGTTTATAATGTTTATCTTCTTTGTTGTTCCCATGTGCAGATGGCAGTTTAAATGTGTCTTTGATTTTTCGGTTTGATAACCATTTCTTAAGTTTAGATGGTTAATTCTTTGTACAAATTTCTAGGGCACATCTATTTTTTTTAAAGCTATTTTGACATGCTATTGGTTGGCTGTATAGATCCTATGTTCCAAGCATCTAATGCTTTTCAGAATGTTCACCAAATTATATCGAGTTTCTCTTCATGCCTTCCTTGTGACATAGTGGTTAGGTGTACATCAGATGAAATTCATACACGTAAGAGCTAGTAGACTCTACTAATATTTCAGTAGTGCAACAAGCTGCAAGTTCTTCCTTATTACTCAAAAGAGATTGACCTTTCTGCTCCTGTTTAAAATGACATGAAACATCCGCTTGTTTGTGTAGGCAACCTTGTTTGATTGCTGCTTTGACTAAGTAAAAGAAATTAAGTAATCTAGAACACATAATTGGGAAACTTGTGCAGATATCTCAATTAGTGTATGCCTGGTAAAAT